CAGGATCACGTGAGCGCATTATGCATCGAAACCAACCTAGTTTTCCGGGAACTAGTTAATTCGTGGTTATTAAGAGTGAAATTTGAATTCCGTAATGGAGATGAATGGAGATTGTTAAAAATACTTTGTGGGACTTTCTAGGCTATACCCGGCGGTTTTATGACAAGGTATTTAGCTCTATAGCTACTTCTTAACATCCTACAGTGGACTAAGACGTTTTTTATGGTGCGCATCTGTTAGTTTGAGAGTAATGGCATCCTGGCTTAAGATCCCTTTGTTTTAGCACGCCATAACTTTTTGAAACATAGATATAAGCACTAATAGATGCCTTATTCCACTAAAGACCCTTGAGAGGTAGCTATAAAGGCTCCTACTAGCCTCCTTTGTCGTCCGATGTAGTTGCTAGAGTCCCACAAACTTTCTCCATTCATCTCCATTACGGTCACCAGTTCCCGGCAAACTAGGTTGGTTTCGATGCATAATGTGCTCACGTGATCCTGTTTCCAATCCTGTTCCGTGTATAATATCTATGGTTTTGCATGCAGATAGTGCCAGATACCACGTGCATTGTCAAGACACGTGGCACTATCATCACAAAATGGCGCTGCTTTGTTTCTTCCAATTAAAATATCTCTCCTAGTCTCCTACAGCAGTTGGTAGACAGTCTAATAAGCATGGTAACTTCTCAAGCAGAGATGCTCTGTGGGATCCTTTATAAGATCTTTAAAATTTCGTATGTTGTTAATTTTCAGACAGGAACCACTGTGCGAAAACTTGATAAAATACATGAATTTTTTCTGTCTGAAAATTTTCTCCTATGAAAATTACCAGATATACGGTACTTTCAATTAATACTACCTATAATAATATAGTAGTAATAATATAATATTACCTAGTTCTACTACCATTGTGATATTTCGATCAGTGATAGGTTCATTAACCCATTCCATTACTCCTCCTCCTACATCTTCCTGTTCATCCTCCACATAACCTCCTACTATTATCAGGAACACATGATTAGGATCAACAACAAAAGATGCTACAGTATGACTGAATCTACCAGTAACAGAATGAGGTAGAGGAATCTGTAGAAAATAATAAATAGAATAGATTATACAGCGTACAGTGATACAAAGCTGTGAGATAGTTTGACATAGGTGGCTATAGGGTTAGCATGTAAGGGCACTGCTCAACAAATATTTTTAAATCCTGAAGCAAAATAGTAAAACAATAATTAATATTTCACACTAGCAAAAGTGATGTGCATTGATGCACATTAATCATGTTTTCAAATTAATGTGCATCACTCTCACTTCACTTTCAGAGGTGGATTGATGTGAAGTGATGCAGTGTGACCAATGGCAACAAGAACACAAAATGATACATAATGCATTTTAATACCTTCATCCAATTATATTGCTTTGTGTCTAATAATAAACATTCATTTACTAGTTCATTATCACTATCCAGTCCACCAATCACTACCAGTGTAGGTGAGGTAGAGACACCATTGATAATAGTACTGGCATGAGAGTCTCTTCCTTCAGGCCACAGTCCATCATTAGGTACTGATCCTTGTTTAAGATACTCCCAGTTCTAGAAATAAAATTAAATGTATTATTCTTACTGTTAATGGCTTTATTATACTGATAGTGTATAACTTACTATTGTATGTTGTGATAATTGAAACAAGTAGATATCGTTAGTAGAAATATCTGCATCACCATCAGTCACTACTCCTCCATACATAATTCCTTTATTATGACTGATCCTTTCAATTATAAAACTATCAGTTGGTGGAAAACACTGTCCACTGACAGATAGAACAATCCATTGTCCTAAAAATTAATTATCAATAACTACAATTTATTTCTATTATGCAATACACGTACATGTATGATAAACAGTACCATTATACCATTGACTATAATTAACTATATGTAATTCTATTCCAGCATCAAAATATTTTAAATGACAATACAATACCATACCCAGCAATAAAATGAGTCACTTACCACTGGACAGGTTATAGATATTCTGTTCATTAGTTCTAAGATGATCATCAAGACAAGGTATATCATGGTATTTAAACTGATTGTGCTGTGTAGTAGTTGATTTAGGAGCCAGTCCACCAATAACCAGTAACTGTTGAGGTTCACCTTCACTTCCCATTGCTATCATACCACCATAGCCTTTCTTAGTCACAGAATTGTCACCAGTTGGTTGTAATTCTTTCCACTGAAGAGTTAAAGTATCTAAACAGTTCAAACTGTTATGGTAGCATTTGCCGTGGCCACCGTGGCAATAACCACCAAAATAATAAATATTATTATTAATGGTGGTACAGGAGACTCCTCTGATTCCCAGTGGAGGAGTACCACTAGTAGGTTGAGAGGACCAAACACCAGATAATAAGTTAAACGCATCTATAGCAGAAGTACACTCTCTCTTTCTAGGAGAATCGAGGGACGCAGCTAATCCTTCCTGGTCCCCTCCCCAGCAGTACAGGACCTCTCCTACTACTGCAGTTGTGTGTTCATACCTCCATCCAAATAGATATTGACCTATAGAATACTGGTAATGAATATTTAAAAGAAAGGGAGTGGAAGGAACTGACCTGATACCGAGCCTGAATTTCTATCCATCTTTAGATTAGATGCACCGATCATAGATATTGCACCTATCACGTGATCCAGCTCCACCCAAGAGGCATATAAACTAATTAGTCGATTTACATTGTGCATTCACAATTTCACATAAAACTATACAAACAAAAATAAAATCAAACTAGCAAGTGTTGGGATAGTCTTTGTCTTTTATCAAGACACCTCTGAGCACTCTCTCTTTCCTTCTGCTTCATTGGCTCCTTCTTCTTCCTCTGCCTATAACTCTACAACAATACAATCAGGCCATAATAATTATGATCACTTTAATATTATTATACACAATAATACTGACTATGAAGTCTATTCTATTCTAATACAAGCTCAAACTTTTCCTGAAGGAATTCCTTTAGTAACAAATCATGATATCATATACTTACTGAGAACACTCTTAGCCATTCCATGACCTCCTGGTCAGTTTCTTGGAGCTGCTTCCTAATCTCCTCACGTCTTATCTCAGACTTAGCTAATGAATGAAGCATCCTCTTCTGCTGCTGATTGTATTCATGCTATAGAACAAGATTAAAGAAGATACACACACAATTAAAGTACATTGTATATGATATAAGGTAGTGAAGAAATGGAAGATAATTTCATCACAAACTTACAACAACTTTCAGCTCATTTTGTGCTTTCATTAATTCTTTAATAACCTCATCTTCATCATCAGAACTGTCCCTCTGTGACTAACAGGAACAAAAAAGACAAATATATACATGTACATGTATTACAGTAGGTACATATGTACATGTATACACACTCATGTCATTTACTGTTAGTATTACTGTATAGCTCCAAATTGAAGCTAATGAAGCTTATAAATAAAGCTATTAACAAACAACAGGTTCATAAATGTAATAATTATTGTATACATTGTAACACACACATGCACTATATAGCGAAAAAATTTTAAGAGCTATAATTTTTTGCGATTCTTTGAAGATACGCAAAAATTAATTCAATTTATTCTGGTGCAAGATGGAAGATGGTATAATTTCATGAATATTAAATTCATGAAATATAGATTTTTAGGTAAATAGGGAAATTCACAGTTATCAAAAATATTACGCTATATACCGTACACTCTTCCTCTCTCTCTCTTACCATCAAGTGGCTGATGTTTAAGTCTCAAAATGACACTCGAAGGATAAAAAATGAATCTAGAAATAACAATAGGAAATATTATACATGTAGGAACAATTCACCTCAAAGTGAGTGACAATTTTAACATAATTTTGTTATCTCAAAAGTAGGTACATAAAATTTGGTAATGGTTGGTATTTGTAATTTTTGACAAAACTTGGCCAAAGTCCCTGTATACTAAAGTACAGGACTTTGGCCAGATTTTGAAGCTATTATAAAAATTTAAATTCATTGGAAGCAGCTCAAACTTTCTATGCAACATAAGAACAGGTGTTAGAAAAATTATAAAAATGGAGAAATCTCTACTTTTCAATTTCGGTGAAAATTGGCCCAGGACCATGTACTAAAGTATAGAGACTTTCGCCTGATTGGTCTGATTCAAAAATTTGTAAAAAATCCAAAATTGATCAGAATTGGTTCAAACTTCCTACGCAACATAAATACATGTATGTGCATCAGGAGAAATTTTAAAAATGGAGAATTCTCTTCTAGCCATTTTTGACAAAATTTGGCCAAAGTCATTGTACTATAGTACAGGGACTTTGGCCTAATTTTTGAGCAACTTTAAAAATTCCTAAAAAATCCAAATTTGATCGGAACTGGTTCAAACTTTTTATGCAACATAAGAACATGTACGTGTATCAGTAAAAATTATAAAAATGAAGAAATCTCTACTTTTCAATTTTGGCAAAATTTGGCCCAGGACCATTTAAAGCACAGAGACTTTGGCATAATTTAAAAATTTAAAAAAATCCAAAATTGATCAAAATGGCTTAAACTTCTACACAACATAAGAACAGACATGTATACACATGACATGCACAATAATTCAATTAGTTATAATAATGTATATCCTCCTTAAATAACTCTACATTTACCTGCCCTCAGTAATCACAATGCTGATCCAGGGTATTAGACTCATTAGTTCCATAGGCTCCATGTCCCCCCGGCCTAGCCTCACTAGCCAGACCATTCCCCAGCTACCACCCAATGACTGTAGGCTGGTCTGGCTACCAGTGGCTAATGAGACTTACCAACCCTCAGCCCCTTTAACTCCATTAGGTTCACCTCTATAATGAATCTTATTGGAGTATAAACTTTTGAATGAACATGCACTCAATATTTAATTATAGTTATGATAATGTATATCCTCCTTAATTAATTCTACATTTACCTGTCACCAGTAATCACAATGGCGGGTCCAGCCTGGGTATTAGTTCCTTAGGCTCCATGAGTTTGGCAGGAGATGCTGTTTTGTGCTCGGTTTTGTTGCAGTTTCCCTCCATTTTATTGATTAAAATTTATGAGCCACACCCACTTAATTGAAATGGAACTTTCTCTTTGAATTTCAAAAAAAGAACCAGAAGAATGGAACATTACATTACATCAGGAGTCCATAATGTTGGGACTCCTGATTACATAAATAGAGCATTTTAAAATACAAAATATAACATTAGCTACAAATTAAAATCATTTAAGTGCAACATCATTTATAATTAGTTCTAACTCTTTTCACAGACTGTTCAAACTGAAGTGTACCCTCCAGTGCTGTTGTCCATTTTTCCCTCAAGAGATTAGCAACAAATTCTATTGGTCCCCCAACACTAGACAGAGCCTCAAGATACTTCACACAATGCTTCTCTAGGTCAGACTTAGAGTTCAATAGATTCATTATAGCTAGGAAACTTGAGGCTATGGCATCATAAGTTGGTGACTTCTGAACCTGCCGGGTAATAATTTTAGCTTCAAACAGTTTGTTAGCAATTTCTTTAAGAGAACTCTCCAAAATATCTGCATAATCTGAGTGATTCTCATTCATAACTTGCTTGATGTTTTGTTTAGCTGTTTTAATATCAAAACCTACAATACCAATAGTCAATAGTTAGTCAGTAACATGTTGAGTTCAAGTACCTCCTTCTCTTCTTCTTTTAGTTAGTACTGGAATAGCTTCATCTTCATCACTGCCACTACTGCTAGGAGCAGCTATAATAGATACAATGTACGTAACATATATTATTTTAAACATTTTATAGATGAATAACTTATTGTACCTGCAATAGGATGAGCTGTTCTTCGTGATCTGTGAATACAAAATGAAACAGGATCAGCCACACCCTCTACTGGTACAGAGTAGTGTAATGTAGGAACAGCATCAGGTGATGAATAGATAGATATGGGGCAAGATGGAGGAAGAGAGTAATCTTCTTTACCAAAATTGTAAATGTCCTCTTGATATAACTATAGTATGGATAACAGATTGATGAGACAATCAATATCTGTGGTAATTATTACCCTGCAATTAAGGTTCTTTGTGAGGTTCAATAGTCCATCCTTTATAAGATTTCTTTTGTGGAGCATTTAAATTCAATTCAACAAAACCATTAGGAGATGCAATACAGAAGTATTCATGAGGTCCTCTTTCAGCTAGTGAATGTTCCTTCTTAATAAACTATACACAAAATCCATAATATATATCATGTACCATCCCTGAAAGTATAGACTTACCTCAAGAAGTGCATCCAATTTCTTAGCAGCAGTAAAAGTGACTAGATCCTCTATACCTTTTTCTTCATAATAAATCAGTCCAGCATATGTTGTAGCTTTCAATAATTCTTTAGCTATACTTCCAGTACTAGCTGATTCTTGCTGTTGAGACACTGGATCTTGATGTAATGCACTGCTACCTGTAACAAGTAAGATAATAAATAAACACACTTAGTGAAATGAACATAATCATAGTAGGAAAACTTTAGCAGTTGCATGCTTCATGACATGTAACTGCAAATTTAAAATAAAATGCATTTGTAATCATAGAAAAGTCATCAATAAGTACAACAAAAGTTTCATGCTATGGCACATTAAAATTTACCCCCAGAACTAGATGACAATGAGCTCCTTGTCCTCATACTGGGCCCTGCAGGTTCTGATATGGGATCTAAATAACAGCAACATACATGTAAGTAATAACCATGATTACTGACCAGCCAAATTAGATGAAACTCCTGATGAGGAACTGGTACTACCTCCTCCTCCTCCTCCATCACAGCCACAAATAGATACAAGACAGAACTTCTCACGTTTAATTGATCCATACCAACTATTAGAGCTAAACTCTCCTCCCTCAACTATTGAGAACTGGTAAGGAAGACTGGGTGCGCTAATGGGAGCTATAGCAAACTGTAAGTATTGTGCAAGATCTGGTCGTCCTGTTAAATCAACGCAGTGCTGTATCTCTAACTTGAGTTGTTTGAGGAGAGGCTTTGAGAGTGATACTGCATACACAGCACTCACTAGGACAGTATTAGGAGGAAACTCGAACTGTCCTCCTACAAGAGCAACCACTGCTGCTTCTACTGTCTCAGAGGACAATAGGCTTCCTTCTTGTACTTGAATCCTTAGACCATATTTCTCCCAATTCATCAGTTGAGGTTTGTCTCCTTGAATTAAGAACATCTTCTTCTCTGCTACCTGGACATCACTCAGACATTCCAAATTATCTGTGACATTAAAAGAACAAATTATAAAAAATTAATTGGTGTCTTAAATTAAACTTACCCATTGAGGGGATCATGTAGTTAAATTGTACTCCAACAGAATTAGTTCCTTTGATGCTAAATTGATCATGTTCGTGTAGAGTGACATCAATCTTCTCTTTCTTTACAATCACTTGATCTTCTACACATAAAACGATAATGTGTATCAATTTAATGCAAGATAATACTAAACAGCTCGTAAAAAGGTTAACATGATGACATGACATATTAAAAACAGCATGTTCAGCAGCTGACCTAAAGGAATCTGTTTCTCTTTAATATCCTGATCCTCCAGTTCAATGACTTTAGCTCCATACACTGGAACTACACAAACAGAATAATTGTTTTAGCTTATGAAAACATAAAGAGAAGTAAAATAAACCAATGCAAGCCACATACACTGTACATGTAATCATGATCTATTATACTTACTTTTAGCGAACTGCACTAACTGCTTCTTAGTTTCCTGCAGTTGTGTTTCAAGTTTTTGAATTATTTCATCTTTTTCCATAAGAGCAGCAGCAGTAGAAACTAAAAATATTTTTGATAATTATTAGCAATGTACATGTACATGTATGTACAATTATATGTACATGTAGTCAACTAGTCATGTACATGTACTTTCTTTAATAGAACTGTATTAAAGTGATACATATACATGTAGTTATGATCTTTAAAGTAATGGACTAGTTGTAATTTTACCTGACAATGAATGAGTCTCACATAGTGCCTCCCGAAGTGATTGGTTCTCATGATGTAAAGACTCAATTATAACTTGAAACTCTTTCACTTTATCTGTCATGTGTATATACTTTTCAATTGTTCTTTCTTTTAGTCTTTGTTCATACAATAAAGGAATATTAAATGAATCTAATACTAGACCCACTGACCATTGACCATCATTAAAAACTAAGGGAGAGAGGGAGGGAGAAGGAAAATGAGTAAGTGATTGTAAGTGAGGAAGAGAAAGGACAAAAAGCAATGACAAAATTACACTTTTGAATTTCAGTAAAATGTATTATTCTACATAAATGATCTTAATAGTGGTATTATTACAATTATTAATTTTTGCATCATGTTTGCCTAGTTTGAGGTTATGTATACAATTTTCCTAATATAAATAAATAATAACCTTACCTAGTTCTACTACTATTGTGATATTAGGACCAGTGACAGGGCTGTTAACCTGTTCCATTACTCCTCCTCCTACATCTACCTGTTCACCCTCTACACAACCCCCCACTATTATCAGGAACACATGATTAGGATCAACAACAAAAGATGATACAGTATGAGCATATCTACCAGTAACAGAATCAGGTAGAGGAATCTGTAGAAATTAAGAAATAAAGTATACAGTTTACGGAGTGATATTGGTATCAGTATAGGATGGTGTGATGTACTGTAGGTAGTTGTACGGTTGGCATTTAGGGGCACTGTTCAACAAAAATTTCAAAAACTGAAAGCAAAATATTATTTACAGTTAATCAAAATAATGAAAAACAAAATTTCCCTTCTGGTCAGACCAAGAGTGGATAATTATTTAGGGAGAGTATCTAACTTGCCTATAATTATGTTTATTAGTGATGGGCGATTCTGAGTCCGAAGTATTCGATCCTTCGATTCCAAATGGAATCATACTCGTATCAAAAGAGAAGTAGGAATTGTTTGAAACAATTCTGAACTAGACCACACCCAACCACACCCTTTAATATTAATAATAGTTAATTAATCAGTAGTTAATATCTCAATTATGGCTGTCATTGATAACACGTGGCTTTGCACATGTGTAGATGTAGCACTTTCATGGAATTGGTATTTGATTCCATCAATTCCAGTCTCAAAAGTATTTGGAATCAAAATTGAATGCAAATTTCTGGATTTAAGACCTATATCTCCAGTCTGAGGATCACACAGTGCGAGAAACAAGCAGGAGCAGACAGGAATATGTTCTTCTAATGGTTGGCTATTTCTAATTTGCAGCCTTCTGACTTGGAATTAATTAACATAAGGACGTACGAATGGCTACTTGGTGCTAATCACCATGCTATGTAAACATACGCGCTGTACCTGTATCACAGATTATAGGCGGGTTAGACACTCTCCCTAAATAATTATCCACTCTTGGTCAGACTTATTTGCTTGAACAATATACCACAAATCTTCAGTCAATTCACATTCACAATAACAATGACTGGTACATGTATAATGACTCCAATAATTATCAATACCTTCATCCAATTGTACTGGTTTGTGTCTAACAATAAACATTCATTTACTAGTTCATTATCATTATCCCGTCCACCAATCACTACTAGTGTAGGTGAGGTAGAGACACCATTGATAATAGCACTGGCATGACAGTCTCTCCCTTTAAGCCAGAGTCCATCATTAGGTATTGATCCTTGGTTAAGATACTCCCAGTTCTAAAAACATGTATTATTCTTACTGTTAATGGTTTTATTATACTGATAGTGTATAACTTACTATTGTATGTTGTGATAGTTGAAACAAGTAGATACTGTTAGTAGAAATATCTTTACTACCATCAGTCACTATTCCTCCATACATAATTCCTTTATTATGACTGATCCTTTCAATTATAAAGTCACTAGTTGGTGGAAAACACTGTCCACTGACAGATGGAACAATCCACTGTCCTAAAAATAGTAATCAGTATGTTAATATTCAGTTCTTGTATGCATTACATGTATAATAAACAGTACTATTATATTATTGACTATAAATAAACTATGTTAATTCCGACCTCATTATTATAAATTTCTACATAATACAATGAGTCACTTACCAGTGGACAGGTTGTAGATATTCTGTTCATTAGTTCTAAGATCATCATCCACATACGGTATCTTAACATATTTAAATTGAGGATGATACTGCATGGTAGTACCTTGTCCACCAATAACCAGTAATTGTTGAGGTCCACCTTCACTTCCCATTACTATCATACTACCATGGCCTCTCTTAGTCACAGAATTGTCACCGGTTGGTTGTAATTCTTTCCATTGAAGAGTTGAAGTGTCTAAACAGTTCAAACTGTTATGGTAGCAACTGTCATGGCCACACCAACCACCAAAATAATAAATTAATGGTGGTACAAGAGACTCCTCTGATTCCCAGTGGAGGAGTACCTCTAGTAGGTTGAGAGGACCAAACACCAGATAATAAGTTAAACACATCAACAGCAGAAGTATACTGTCTCTTGGTATGAGAATCGTGTGACTTATCTTTATGCACTTATCATTTCTTATGCCCTTGCTATAATTGTATCAGCTCCCATCATACATGTACATAACTCCATTCATTCATGCACTAAGTTATTTATTTATTTATTTATTTATTTTTTATTTTTATTTTTTTTTTCATTTTTTTTCTTTTTTTTTTTTTTTCTGGTTCCTGGTGAGTTTACCAGGTTACCATCAGCACTCTAACTCCCTGTGTTTTCATTCTACTATTGTGCTGTAGAGTTTATTAATAATAATAATAATAATAATAATAATAATAATAATAATCCTTCCTGGTCCCCTCCCCAGCAGTACAGGGCCTCTCCTACTACTGCAGTTGTGTGTTGAGACCTCAATCTCAGTTCATACTGACCTGTAGAATACCCACAATCAAAATTTATAATAAAGGGAGAAGAAGGAACTGACCTGACCCCCCACTACTATTATCGAGACTTCTATCCATCTTTAATTTTATTTTAATGCTTTTTATTCCCACCTACGACCTACCTATCACCTGATCATCTAGCCCCACCCAACAGTACTGGAGGCCCGAGGGTTCCTTCTCCTTTCACTTTAGCAGCAGTTATCTCACGAATACTAAACCTGCAATTGACTCAAAATCTTCAATGCATCCAGTTAAAAGACTAATAAACACAATACCATTTTCTGTTTTTGATACAGTAAAATGTTCTTGAGTTGTAACTGGTCTCAAACTTCTTCACCTATCATATTTTATAGGCAACTAGGAGTCTGCATACACTTCACAAACAAACAATAAAAGCAAGAATAGGATCTTCAAGTGACATCATCACATGACGCATGAGCAACCTCATCTGATCTGCAGATCTGATCTAGGCATGGTGAAAAGCAAGGTGTACTCGACATTATTGTTGTATATAAAACTATGCAAACAGAAAATCAAACTAGCAAGTGTTGGGATAGTCTTTGTCTTTTATCAAGACACCTCTGAGCACTCTCTCTTTCCTTCTGCTTCATTGGCTCCTTCTTCTTCCTCTGCCTATAACTCTACAACAATACAATCAGGTATAATAATTATGATTATTAAAAAAACTTTAACATTATTATACACAATAATACAGACTATGAAGTCTATTCTATTCTATTACAAGCTCAAACTTTTCCTGAAGGATTCCTTTAGTAACAAATCATGATATCATATACTTACTGAGACACTCTTAGCCATTCCATGACCTCCTGTCAGTTTCTTGGAGT